AACACATGATCTTACGTGGATACCTCTCTTTCATTGAAATTTAGTCTACTTTAAATCCCATTTTAAACAAGTCTTGTTCAATTGATGCATTCATAATTCTTTTTTTCTTACATGGTTTTAGCAACAATAGACAGCTCTCTTTTTTTTAATCTCATATTACTATTAAAAATTCAAATTTTAGAATTTTAGCTATTAAATCTATTTCCATGAAATTGACCTGGAGAATTCATGACCTTGAATCTTAAATCTAGCCTATAATAATTTTTAATTTAAATAAAAAAATGCATTGATCTAATAAGCATGGTTGATTCAATTAAATTCAAATTAAAAATCAATTGAGTCGGTACTATTTTTTTTGAAATAACAAAATGATAATGTTTTTAATAAAAATAATTATTCTGATTTGACTCTATGACCTATAAACTAACCATGTAGCTAGATAATATAAGTATTTTTAAGGTCAGGTCTTGGGCATGGTCTAGTAGTTAACTATTTAATTTTAATTAACTCTTTGCAAACGTCATTGCATGACATTGTTTTGTTAAAATCCCTTGTATAAAAGCATCCCTCGTCTAGAAGAGCCAAACATGCAATATTATTTTTTAAATAGTCTAAATATATTTTTTTTTTAGGTGCATTTCAATTGTAAAATGTCATTTAGAAGAATTGATTTCATTTAAATATATTTAATACAATTTTTTTAATAACTTAATATGACCTATTTAAAAATAACTGAAATAATTTTTAATTAATTTTAATATTAAATAATAAAATTAAAAAAAATTCAATTAAAAAACAACCCAAATAAATTCACCAGACCTATAATATAAGTGATAAAATTAAGATAATTTTATAAAAATAATTTAATATAACCTAATTTACTTGGTAAATTTAAAAACATATCTAAATATTTTTCAATTAATATTAATATTAAATGATAAAAATACAAAATAACTTGTCTTAATTTGTTAAATTTATAATTTAAATTATGAGATTGGTATAACTTTTTAAAAATAAATTTAAAAAATATAAATTTTTAAAAAAGAAAAAAACCACAACTTAAATTAATTGTTTTTCTGTAAAATCTCGATATCGTTACCAAACATGCGGGAATAATATTTTTTTTTTAAAAGAAGAAGATATTTTAGTAACTTGATCAGCGTTGTTTTCCTTGGACATGATAAACGAGCTTTGAGAGGTCAAATTAATGGTTTTTTTATATTTATTCTTGACTTTTCATATAGCATATTCTTGGAGATGCCCTAACACAAGAATGCTGAGATGTTGTTTTGTTTTTTTCCAACTGTACTGTGAGTAATATTTTACTTAAACTCTTGTTTAATTGTCATCGAAATAAAAACGTGAACGCACGCAGAGGATGGTGGCTTTTGGTCGTGCTGTAAGCACAGCTGGAATTAGCGGGACACAGCTGGCATGTACGAAGGATACGTGACTACCGTCGCAGTCTGGTCTCTTTTTATTTTTGTTTTCTGCTCCTGGAATCGAGTACTGGAATGACAATAAGAACGGAGTTTTTGTTACGCGTTCAGGTTTTATTATTATTTATCAAATAAAAAATAAATTTTCTTATTTTTATAAATCTATTTCAAGTATTTATTTATGTAATATTATTTATTATTCATTCCCTTCCCTTTTTTGCATGCTGGTCTGGTCTGTTGGGACTTGGTGGATATCCTGTTAAGATTACGAAAATGGCCTTGCCCCCGAGTCCTTTTTAAAAGAAAGTATAACACCAGGAGAAAAGTTAATGCAATAATGTTTGTAGACAAGTTTTCAAGCTACAGTTATTTTCCATTCCAATTTCAAGCCTGGAACTTCAGAGAGATATTTTAAGAGTGTTCGATTACTTAAATTTTAATTTTTTTAATTAAAATAAAATATATTTTTATATTTTTAAATCAATATCAAAAATAATTTTAAACTATTATCATTATCACAATTTTAAACATATCCTAACAGCAAAAAGACCGTGCCACAAACTATAACGAATGTAGTGTTTAGAAATTCGACAGCATCTGTTTTGTAGTTAGTCTTTGTTTTGAAAATGTGTTTCACCAGAGAAAAATCAGTCTTTTAAGTGTTTTCAATGAGTATGATAAACTAATATAAAAAATAAAAATATTTTAATATGTTTTAAAATAAAAAAATATTTTTAAGAACATATATCAAACACGGGATGAAAACCAAAAGCCTAGGAAAGAAAAGAGAGACTTGTGAATGTTTGCTGTTGCCATCTGAGCTGGGAACGAGAGATCCGAGCAAGGCAGTGAAGAAGCATGCCTTCAAGAGGGATGAACGTGGCCATGGTTAAAAATTTGCTAGCTACATGCTCTCTCCCTTTCCCCCACATGAATGTCAGTATGTGTGAGGAAAAGGAGACGATTAGCTGTGAAAGACGATACAAGTCTCGAAACCAACCTGGAATGCACATAATATTGTAAACACCAGCTGCTAATTGCTGCTGCCTGGTAGCATTGATGAAGTTGTCGATTCTTATGTTCTGGTCTCTTCGGTTTGAGAAAAAACTATTAATAATTAATTAATATTACTACAGGATAAATAAAATGTTGCTTTGTTGCTGTGTGCCTCGAACGTTGTCGTCTCGTGTGATAATTAATTCATTAATTTGTTTGGTTCATTGAACGTGTGAGGGATGGCGAGTCGAGCTAGGAAGGAAGCACTCTCGAATGAACTCGGTAGAAACTTTTGTGTTCATTGTAATCCGAGACCAAAAACAGGAACACACTCATCATGTTTCTTTTTTTCCCCCTTCAATTCATTCTCTTTCTTTGTCCGCCCACGTGATCTTGTAAGGAAGAGGGACTTGAGCTATAATCTCCTCTTTAATTTGGATAAGAAATGCTTCTATAATTTTCTTTGAAAATAAATTTAAGCGCGCATGAATTTTGATTCACAAAAGCTGCTTATCAAGACAGTGTTTTGTAACGCAGTTTAATTTTTTTTAATATGAAATTAATTTTTTAAATATTTTAATGTATTGATATTAAAAATAAAATTTTTTAATTAAATATATTTTTAAATACGTGTGAGGGATGGCGAGTCGAGCTAGGAAGGAAGCACTCTCGAATGAACTCGGTAGAAACTTTTGTGTTCATTGTAATCCGAGACCAAAAACAGGAACACACTCATCATGTTTCTTTTTTTCCCCCTTCAATTCATTCTCTTTCTTTGTCCGCCCACGTGATCTTGTAAGGAAGAGGGACTTGAGCTATAATCTCCTCTTTAATTTGGATAAGAAATGCTTCTATAATTTTCTTTGAAAATAAATTTAAGCGCGCATGAATTTTGATTCACAAAAGCTGCTTATCAAGACAGTGTTTTGTAACGCAGTTTAATTTTTTTTAATATGAAATTAATTTTTTAAATATTTTAATGTATTGATATTAAAAATAAAATTTTTTAATTAAATATATTTTTAAATAAAAAATATTTTAAACAGTAACAACAAACATACTCAAATATCTTATAAAGTTAGTTTTGCATTTGGTAGACTTGGTTTGTAAAAAATATAAAATTATTTTTTTAATAATTTTAATATGTTGATATTTGGTCCCAACTAGGTCGCAAGTGAGGGATGGCGAGTCGAGCTAGGAAGGAAGCACTCTCGAATGAACTCGGTAGAAACTTTTGTGTTCATTGTAATCCGAGACCAAAAACAGGAACACACTCATCATGTTTCTTTTTTTCCCCCTTCAATTCATTCTCTTTCTTTGTCCGCCCACGTGATCTTGTAAGGAAGAGGGACTTGAGCTATAATCTCCTCTTTAATTTGGATAAGAAATGCTTCTATAATTTTCTTTGAAAATAAATTTAAGCGCGCATGAATTTTGATTCACAAAAGCTGCTTATCAAGACAGTGTTTTGTAACGCAGTTTAATTTTTTTTAATATGAAATTAATTTTTTAAATATTTTAATGTATTGATATTAAAAATAAAATTTTTTAATTAAATATATTTTTAAATAAAAAATATTTTAAACAGTAACAACAAACATACTCAAATATCTTATAAAGTTAGTTTTGCATTTGGTAGACTTGGTTTGTAAAAAATATAAAATTATTTTTTTAATAATTTTAATATGTTGATATGAAAAATAAAAGCTAATATTTTTAAATAATAACTATTTTTTATTAAATAAAGTATATCAAATTTACTTTTAAATTCAATAAAGTAAATGCTTACATTGAAAAGGAAAAAAAAATTAACAGACTGAATTCCAGTATTAGTAGATATTAAACATAATTAACCCTCCTGAATGGCATAGTAAAAAACAAAAAAACAAAAAACAAAAAAAAAAGGAAAAATGAACGAGATGGTCGTGAATTAAAGAACATACTATAAATAAATTGCAAAAACCATTTGCCACAAACCCAATTGTCATCAATATCATGTCTATCTTCAAAGCAATAATTATATTGTGGATGAACACAGGGTCGGCATGCCTTATCCACTGGTTATATGAGCAGAGAACCCAGTAATTTAAGATCACGAGTCACAATCACCTACTAAGATTAACGAACGAGCACGAACTTGGTTCACACAGGTAAATTGGATTTTAAAAGAACAGGGGCATTTTCTAGCTATCCACCTAGCCAGCCCAGCCCCCTGTGCCTGTCTCCATTTCGGAAAAGGGTCTTAATCGAACGAGTCAAACGCAACCAACACCGACCATCTTTCTCCTTTCAAAGAACAATGAAAGGCTTTGGTGTTTTTTTACTTGTAATATCCTTGAACTCGAATGGCAATTGCATGCACCAACCCCACAAAAAACAGCAGCCACGCCCAGAAGTCAAAATTCTCATTAACCTCGAAAACTATTCACAAACGGTAATGAAATCAACAGGAAGATCCTCGGCATAAATCTATCAATTCCCAGCGTTAACGAGGGCAAAATTGTCATTTTATTACGTCTATAAGTATCGTCCAGTTCGCTTTCCAACGCTTCTTTAGTCAAGAAAAAAAAGAAAAAAAACCATTCCATTCTCTCTCTCTCTCTCCCACAAAAAAAAAACTCCTCCTAACACTTACCTGTAAAATCTTATTATAAAAAAAGAGTCTTTTAAGCCTTTCCTCGAACTGTTCATCTACAAACAGGCACCTTCACCGGCGATTGTCTCTCGCCGCTGAATCCTCATCAAGTGTTTAACTTTTCCTATCTGGGTTTCATTCAGATAGTTCATTTACATAGCAAAGTTGCAATGTTTCACAATGAAACGGTGTCGGTTTCCTGTTTCTTTGGACCGGTGACCGTATAGTGATAAGTTGGTAAGCGGTATAGTTGGATAATTGGGGCGTGATGGGGAAGGTGGCGGCGGGAGTGGCGGCGGCTGCGGCGGCGGCGGCTTGTGCGGTGGCGGGAGTGGTCGTGGGCAGGAGGGTACGGAGTAGGAGGAAGTGGAAGAGAGTGGTAGGAGTGCTGAGAGAGTTAGAAGAAGCATGTGAGACACCAGTTGGGAGGTTAAGGCAAGTAGTGGATGCTATGGCTGTGGAGATGCACGCTGGCTTGGCGTCTGAAGGTGGCTCGAAGCTTAAAATGTTACTCACTTTTGTTGACCATTTACCTAGGGGGTATAATAATCCATAATCTAATCTACCTCTCTTGTTGTTTTTGTTACTGGTTGTGACTTGTGAGAGATACTATGTGGTCCTACTTTTAGTGTGTCTGCGCGTGTTTCTGTGTTTTGTTTGATTCTTGATTGATCCATCATCGCTGGTTGGTTTAGGAATTAAAGGGGAATGATTGATTGAATGGTACTTGTCTCTTTAGTTTCTTTTAGTGATATTCGTATGCCTAGTAATCTTGAATTTGATAGTTTGGGTTTAAAATTTCATTTTTACGGTGGTTTGATATTTTTTTTCCTATTTTATTACGATCTCGTGTTCGTTTTCTGGGGTGTTCTTGTTGCCTTTACTCTTAGCTGTTTTTATCTTAAATTAAAATTTGATACAGTTTAGCCATTTGTTTCCCATTGCTGTTTTGGAGTGCCTTTTGAACTTTTTTTTTCCTTGTTTTCTTGCAACTTGGACAGTCTTTCTTTGTGTTATTTCTTTTTCTTGTTTCATAACGCTTTCTGCCAATTTTTTCACTGTGAAAGTGTTTGGTTATTCCAGTTTTATTTTTCTTTTGATGTGATGTTCAGTCTATTTGCTGTTTTCTCCTTTGTGTTGTATAAGTTTGTTTTTAAAGTGTTTTGTGGGTTCATTTGGTTAGATGATTCTGGTACAGTGGTTTTGGAACTGGATTTATTTGTAAACGCACGCGCTTTTAAATTATACATTCATGTCCTGCTATCTGTTGTTTTGCAAAACTTGATTGTAATGAATCGATCTTCTCACTACTTGATTTGGGAATATATTTTTTTCTCAAACAAAAACGTGAGTTTATAGAATCTAAATGTTCTCTTTCTATTCCCTTCTATTCTGATTTAAAATGCTAAAGAACTGTTTGAGAAATACTACGTGTTTAGGTTCCTTAATTGAAATATGGTGGTTCTTATTTAGTCTTCTTTTCCAAGTGGACAAGATTGGTTGCTCAATGAAGGACAGAATCTGCGTTGTATTCAATGAACAGAATTTTCATACCGACTCTTGATTTAACAATTGTTTTAATAGTTTGTCGATGCAAATACATAATTGCAATTTTTATGCTAAAGCGCCATCCCCTTTTTCTTTTGGAAGTGTTCTGGCTGTTGAAAACATGCGCAATGACAGGGATTAGATATTGGATGAAGAGGGTGTGTTTACAGTTGTTAATAGTCTTTAGCCTGGTTCCTGTACCTGTCTTTGAATCACATGTTAGCTGGAAGAGTTAGGATGAAGTTACACCAGATGTGACCATTTCTTCTATTATCCTTCCTAAATCATTTGAGACTCATCCTTTTTAGCTATGGTTGTTTTTGATCCTTTACCCATGCATGCCATGTATATCAATTTCAAGTTCCTGAAGTGAATAAGAAGAAGAAAGTTTATCCCCATTTGTGATATATAAATGAGATAGATATGGACATCCAATTAATTTCACATTTTGCATGTATGGTATTTGTAATGTAAATGTACAATTACTAGCTTGCTTGGGGAAATCATACCAAATAAGCAGTGACTATGTGCTTCTGTTTTTAAATTGCTTTTTTTATATCAATTATTAGAGTTGGATCAATTTTCAATTATGTGGTCTATATTTGTATTGTTTGCTTAGGTTGCCTTGGTAAATTGATTTTTGATGTTGTTGTCAGGAGTGAGATAGGAACTTATTATGCTCTAGATCTTGGGGGTACTAATTTTAGGGTCTTGCGGATTCAGCTAGGAGGTAGAAGATCTTCAATCTTGTCTCAAGATGTGGAGCGACAACCCATTCCCCAGCACTTGATGACAAGCACAAGTGAGGTGACTGAGTTTTAACTGCAAATATTTCACTATCTTTGGGCATGCTTTTGGAAAAGAAAAAAAAGAAGATAAGAGATGACCTGATAAGTATGGCAATTATTGTGCATTTTTTGGCTACAGGATCTCTTTGATTTTATTGCTTCAACCTTAAAGCAATTCGTTGAAAAAGAAGAAAGTGGTTCTGAGCCTTCTTCAGTTAGAGCAAGGGAGCTTGGGCTTACATTTTCTTTTCCAGTGAAACAATTGTCTATGCATTCAGGTATCCTTGAGAAATGGACAAAAGGATTTGCCATTGAAGATATGGTAAGCTAGATGATGTCTGCCAAGGAAACTTTGTAAATGTTGACTGCGTAATTGTTAGTTGGATTTCCGGTGCCTTTTTGCTGTTCTGAATATTTCTACACATGTTTTGTGTTGTTCTTAAAGAGCAGTAAGTGAAGTATTGGAGCACCTAGGATGTGTTTTTTCATTGCATGTAATTTTAGGATGAGTAAAAATCTTAAATCTATTTGGCCTGGTAATTAAATCACTTATCATAAATATATTATAATCTAAGTGATAATGCTTCTATTAGCCAATCTGGAAGTTTTTATACATTTTATTCAAGTGACTATTATAAGTGAACTTCTGTTTCGTTTCCTTTTTTTACGACTGGATTTATTGCACAAATGATTGTAGGTTGGAAAAGAGGTGGTTGCACTTTTAGAAGCAGCATTAGTCAGGAGTGGTTTAGACATGCATGTTGCAGTATTGGTAAGCACTTTCTTCTCTTATGGAAGCATTGTTGATATTTGATTTCCCTTTAACCAATATAACAATTCAACTGTACAGTTATTGCTATTTGAAGGTATTTTAATAAATAAAAAGTCGATGCTTTTGGGAAGTACAATTGTTATCAGTCAAAAGCATTCTTTATTATTTTTGAATAGTAACTGTTAAGTGGTCGAACATGTATTTTATTCCGAATCAGTTTAAGTTTTTTCCTTAGGTCATGTACCTTTTGAATTGAATAGCTGGACCAGCATTGCAAAGTTAACCATAATTTCAGTCATGGTCAGAACTAAAGAAGATCTAGACCATAATCGCAGACTGCTTGCGAAGATTTTCCCCATCTGTTTTACTTGCATGAAGTTTCCTTGAGTGGTGGAGTTTTACTCGTACCAGGATCTTGAATAGCACGTGGTTGATGTTGTACTGTATGCAAAATAAAGTTCATCTTACATATCTAATGGAGTGATCTAGAACTTAAAAATTACCAGGTCATGCATGTATAAATGCACAGACACCAGTATGTTTGAGCTTGTGGATGATCCTTTTGTTGATTTCAAATTTTCCTTTTCTCAATAGTTTTTTTTTTTTTTTTAAATTACCTGGATGTCTTTTCTGGACCTTCATCTCTTTAACTATTGTTGTGCAGGGTGGTTCATTGGACAGCCTTTCTGTTTTAACCCCCACCCCCACCCCCACCGGAAAAAAAAAAAAACAGTACTTTCCTTTTCATATAGAGTTTTTTTTTTTTTAATGTATTAATGAAGAGGTGCACTTTGTTTTGAACAGGTAAATGATACTGTGGGAACCTTAGCACTTGGACATTATGATGATGCTGACACTGTTGCTGCTGTGATAATTGGAACGGGTACTAATGCCTGTTATTTAGAGCGGGCAGATGCCATCATAAAGTGTCAAGGTGTTCTTACAACTTCGGGATGCATGGTACTGCTCTTGTCTCGATCAAGCATTTTCCTGTGATTAACTTGAAAAACAATCCATTATTATATCTGCTTGCTCACATTATGCTTTTGTCTTGTTTTACTAGGTTGTTAACATGGAATGGGGAAATTTCTGGTCATCCCATTTGCCACGAACTTCTTATGATATTGATTTGGATTTGGAAAGCCCTAACCCAAATGATCAGGTAAGGAGCAGTTTCTTATGCTTTTATTATTTGTTACTATAAAGGACCTGCTCAATGTTTTTTTGTTGGATTTTGTTGCAGGGTTTTGAGAAAATGATATCAGGAATGTACCTAGGTGACATTGTTCGGAGAGTTATTCTTAGAATGTCGCAAGACTCAGATATATTTGGACCTGTTTCCTCCAGATTATCAATCCCCTTTATTTTGCAGTATGTGACATATATACACAGAAATCTTGGGTGGCTAGGAGTTGATTTTATTGTTGTATAAATGTGTTATCTCTCTTGATATTCTGTGCTTATTGTCATTTGAAGCTTTGGTTCTCCTTAATTTCTTACTCATTTTCATCTATTGCTAATCAGAACACCCTTGCTGGCTGCAATGCATGAGGACGACTCTCCTGAACTGAAAGAAGTAGATAAGATCTTGAAAGAAACCCTGGAGGTAGATGGACCGCTCATGTTTTCCTTTCTTGTGTTTATTGAATGCTGCTATGGATTGACTATATCGGTTTTATTTTCCTGTGCACCTGTCAATTTCAGATTTCAGAGGTCTCTTTGAAGGTCCGAAAGCTTGTTGTAAGAGTATGTGACGTTGTGACCCGTAGGGCTGCTCGATTGGCAGCTGCTGGCATAGTGGGAATCTTGAAGAAGATCGGACGGGATGGAAGTGGAGGCATCACTGGTGGAAGAAGTAGAAGTGATGTAAAAATGAGAAGAACAGTTGTTGCGATTGAAGGGGGTTTGTATACGAGTTATACAATGTTCAGAGAGTACTTGCATGAAGCCCTGAATGAAATACTGGGAGAAGATGTGGCCCAACATGTCATTCTTAAAGTTACAGAAGATGGATCAGGCATTGGCGGAGCTCTCCTTGCTGCCGCATATTCATCCGGCGGTGTGGATAACGTACGGTTGCCATAAATATATATTATTTATATACATATAGCTCCCTTGTAAATGTAGAATTCTTTCAATATCTTCATATATATAAAAGGGTTTGTCAAAAAGAAAAAACTTGTCATCTTTCTAATGATTCTCATTGTATCTTAAGCTTTTTTATTTATTTATTTTTGGAAAGTGTTTTTATAAACTAAATCTTTGAGAAGTAAATTATGCTTTGTTAGTGTAAAAAACAAGGTGAAGAATAATTTTTTAATGTTTTGAAGCTTATTAAAAAAATGAGAATTAAATTTGATTAATAAAAAATGAAAAAAATTATTTTAAATAAAATAAATAGCAATAAAGATCAAATTTTATGGATAAAAAAATCAGAAATAAAAAATTGTAATATAAATAAAAAATATTTTAAATAAAATAAATAGCAATAAAAATATAAAGATTATGTCATGAATAAAAAATTTTAATTTAAAAAAATAGTAAGAAAAATAGTTAATAATAATAAAAAGAATAAAAGTTGAAATAATTAATAAATGATAAGATGTTTAAAAAAAGAAGTTTAGCGTAAACCAAGTTAAAAATATTTTTATTTAAAAATAATTTTTTATTAAAATAAAAAAAATGAAATGTAATTTCTAAAAAATCATTTTCTGTGAAACATACGAAACAAATAGTATCTTAATTTTCTTCTTTTTTTTTTTGTTGGTACACTTCCTTTTCAATCAGGTCTTCTGTATATTGCTGCTGGCTATGTGAAAAGTGTGCTTTATTTATCCCGCAATGAGAGAGTCGTCTTTACAAATTATTGTCCTTTCAAATGATTGAGGACTTTTTGCACTCTGGAAGTCATTAAGAGTGTTGTTGGGCCCAAACATCTCGTGGTTATGGCCAGTTTTAATGACCATCAAGTTCCCCTCCCCCTTCCATTATTATCATTGGTCGGCAGCCCTGCCATTCATCTTCTCCGATGGTCATCCCTTGTTGACTTCACCGCCACCACCCCCATGCCATCGCCATCACCGTGCTAGATATATATGATTTTGTTCATGACTTTTTTTTTTAACTTTTTCATCCCACTACTGGAACTTGAGGGTTTTTTTTTTTATTCTAGGATTTTCCTAATTTATAAAATAATCAAGTTTAACTTGATTATTTTAAATATTTTTTATTTTTATTATTTGAAATTACACTATTAAGTTTTACAATTTTTTACTTTTTATATTTTTCTATAAAGTTAATTTAGATTATATATTTGTTAGGCTAACCTAAAATAACTCGATTTTTTAATATTATTTTTTTAATTGTTTAATTTTGATCATTTTTTGTGGTTTTTTTTTTAAATAATTTTCTTATCCTAATTTCATATACCCTAGTATATGGTGGATTAATAAAGGGAGGTAAGATGAACTTGGTTTTTTTTTTATGTTTTTTAAGATGAATTATTTTTAAATGTTGTTGTTTCAAAGTAAGATTAAGTCAAGTTTTCTAAATTTTATTTATTTATTTCTTTGAGATTATATCAGTTAGTGAAGCCAAGCCAGTGCTACCATTACCTAGAAGAAAAGGACGAAGAAATAACCATTTAGGTGATGGTTAAGTGGTAAAAACTTGAAGTTAAGGGGTTTGTTTTTTTTGTAGTCTTAGGTTTGAGTCCTTAATTACTCATATGATGATTACTGAAAGTTTATATAATTGTTAATTTTAAAATTTATAAAATTAATTATAGTGAGTGTAAACTAGTCCGGACAACCATATTAATTTTTTTAAAAAAACAAAGAAATAAAAAGGAATAGTCTTGATATAAAGAGAGAGGAATGGAGCGTGGGAATCCAGTTATCAATTCCCTTGCAAAGCATGAAGGTGACGTGAGATGGTGGTGATGGCATCGTGATCTTTGTGTAGATTTATTTGATGGTCATGTTTCCCTCGTCAGCAAGCGTTGACAGTTTTCGTAGCCACGTAGATCATCCATTACGTCATCAAACACGAAAAGTATTTATATTCTATTTTTATTTCGCGACGGCTACTTGCTTCTTACAAGCTGCATGATGCATCCACGGGATCCTCCCATCCTTTTCCACACCCCAACAGCTCCACCAATGCCCACAAGCACACGTGTAAAAGTCTTTTTCCCCGTTTTTCCTTTTATCTATGGTGATTTTCTTCATCATGGCATGCCACCTCATACGCCGACCAGTGTTTTCTTTGTTGAAATGAAAATTAATTGTTTATTTTCCAAAAAAGAATAATTTAGTATCATGGAAGATAAATTATAAAATACTTTTTAGTTTTAGATATGCCATGACAAATAACCTGAGAAATTACTTCTTATTATTATTTTTTGATGCATTCAATGTAATTGTTCAACTATTTAGAATAAAATAATGTGATATAAATAATGTAATAACAATACAAATAATTATTATATTTATGTATAATTTATTTTATAAAGTGTATTTGTACATATAATATAAATATTTACAATATAGTATTATAGATACATAACGAATATATTGTTTTGTATGGTTAGTTGTGTAATGGATAATGAATGCAAATTATTTTATGATTTCTGGATGTGTCAAAGAAAATAAATCGAGGAATAATACATTTTGACCTATTAATGTTTGTAAAATACTTTTTAGATGCATTGAAGAAAATAAGTTGAAAAATAATACATTTTGAGCTATTAAAATTTTTATTTTTATCAAATATTTTTTGGTGCCTGGAGAACATTAAAAATGAATTTGTCTTCAATGTTATTATGATTTTATAACACAATTTATATTATCTAATATACATTATTGTTGTATAATATATCATGTTTTGTATTAAATGTATTTTATAGCGACTACTATATGCATTGATATATTAAATTAATATGCTTTTATGCTGTATATTACTCTATCCTAATATATTATTTCCTATATAAATATACTAGTAATTTGTTATTTTATAAAAATATTATATTTTAAAGTATTTTATTAATATATTATTGTTTATGTGCGTGTACACAAAAAAGAAAAAAAAAAGAAGTAATATATCATTTTAGTTTTTAGATGCTTCATGGAAAGCATTTTCTGATCTCCTAAACCGAAAAATACTTTTATTTATCCAAAACTGAAAAATGAATTTATTTAACCATGTTTTCAAGAAGTAGCCAAACATTAAAAAAGCTTTATACACGCAGCTCTTGGCATGGGCCAAATAAATGCCAATAAAAGCCCGTATGTGTGATGGGCCTAAATTCTATATTCAAGTTTCAAAATCCTGCTCTCTTGAAAACCAGGTTCTGGATCTTTCACTAAAGCCCTGAAAGATTCGAGAAAGTACTAGAAAGATCTAGAGAAGCCCAAGATGAAACTACCAGAATTCTCTTCTCCCCCCTCGTAATGTATAAATTACTCAGCCTATCCCTCCTTCCTCATCATCGTCAACACGACAACAGCAATTCATCTCTCAATTACAAAGAGTTCCTGCTTCGAAGGCATAAAGAAGAACAAAGATGGCAATGATTCCAAGTTTCTTCAACAACCTATCACGAGACATCATCTTCGACCCGTTCTCTTCTTTCGATCCATTCAAGGACTTCCCTTCTCCTTCATCTCCCCTCATCCCTCGCGAGAATTCAGCTTTCGTTAACACTCGCATTGACTGGAAAGAGACCCCAGAGGCCCATGTCTTCAAAGCTGATCTGCCGGGGATTAAAAAGGAGGAAGTGAAAGTCGAGATTGAAGATGACAGGGTGCTTCAAATTAGCGGGGAGAGGAACGTGGAGAAGGAAGACAAGAATGAGACATGGCATCGTGTTGAACGTAGCAGTGGCAAGTTCTTGAGAAGGTTCAAGCTGCCTGAGAATGCCAAGATAGATCAAGTCAAGGCTGGTATGGAAAACGGGGTGCTTACTGTCACTGTGCCCAAGAAGGAGGTCAAGAAACCTGATGCCAAGAAGACTATTGAAATCTCCTGTTAAAAAAGAACACTACATTTTTTTCCTTCAACATGTTTATTAGAGCTTTAATCCCTTAAATGTTAAAGAATCAACTAGCGGCCGATTACTCATCTTGTTCTATAAGATATTCAGTCTTTACTTAAAGTAATAATTTGATATTAGTCATCTCCTCTGGCTGCTATATGGAGAGAGCTTCAAACCTCCTCCTTTAAGCCACGCTTGAGGCCTTAATCCCCACCTCTGTGTGTGTGCGCGTATAATTTGATTTTCTTTTTTCTCTTTTTGGATAAATATTTAAGCATTTTCTTTTATCCCCCCTCTACCATTCGCCTAAGCGCAGTTTAAATTTTACATTTTATTGTATTTTCTTGTTCATTCTTCACAATAGCTTGTTGTCGAATTCTTTGAACAGTTTAATTAGTGTGTGTGTGTTCTAACATGCCTTAAAAATAAAAAGCAATCATAACAAATTTTAAAAAGATCTTTGGCGATTTGAAATAAGAATAACAAAATCATCTCTCTAGTTTGAAACTATTTTTCAAATCTAATTACAATCATAAAAGTATGTATCAATTATAAATAAATAAATAAATTTTAATATCTTTGTCAAGAATATATTAAAAAAATATAAAAATAATGAACCACTTACACGTGATTATGAAATTTTTTTTAATACAATCAATAAAACTGATCCATCTAGCTAGCCAATTTAGATATTAAATTTTTTATTTAGTTTAAATTTAAAATAAAACATAGTAAGAGTTAACATAATGTAATTTAGTTAATATAATAGGTTTAAACATGACCTAATTAAAATCTAGTTTAACTTAATAAAAATTGCAAGGTGATGTTGTTTAAACTTTGAACTATAAAATTAAATAATTAACAAATGAGGAATTAATTTTAAAAACAAAACATTAGCCTGTCTCTATCACATGTGAGAGGAAATATTAGAGTTTATTTTGTGGTGGGAATGAGATTTTTTTAGGTTTCTATTATGTTTTTTCTAAAACTAAAAATAGGTAAAAATTAGGGTTTTCTGGGTTCAAAAATCAAACCCTATTTTATGATAATTGTTGGTGGCGGAAAAAATATAAAAGTATACAACATGTTGGCTATTATAATTTTTTAAAATTAAACAGACGATGAGTGTTCTATTCAATTAAAAAATAAATAAATGCAGGCACATAGGCTTAGCCTTACATCACTAAACTCGCATGAGATTTCACTTTCAAAGGCCAAACAAGTAGATCTAGGTTTTATTTTTTAGGGCTAGTCCAACAACACTGTTTCTTCACTTAAAATAAAATTAATGCATAAATAAGGAAAAAATGATATTGACTTGAAAAACACTCATTTGCTCATGCAGAATTTAAATCCTTCATATTTTTTTGCATATTTATTTTAATTATTGCAGAATTAAATAAAAATCAACTTTGACGATTATTCCAATTATTCCACGTCATTGCTCAAGTGTAAAATCTACCAACGTGAAAAATAAAATATAAACATGTAAAACAAAAAGGATATATACTTAAAATATTTGTATTTATATCTATTTTTTATTTCTTATAAAAATTATCAACTTTTCACTCTGATCTTTAATTGGTGTTAATAATTTTTTTTATAATTTACCCATCCATATATTTTTTTAGCTCTTATTTATTATGCACATGAAACAACTATTCATTCTTTTATTTATTATTTAAGGATATTTAATTAAATAAATGGTATTTTTATTGTGATATTTTATAAGTATTTATGGTAAATTTTGAATAAAAATAAAGATCGATTGTAATTGACATTTAATCAATTATAAATGCATTAAATAAGTCTGAACAAGTCTACTAAAAGCTCTAAAAAAAGAACATAGCTGCCCTTGATGCTTGCTAAGAGTTGAATCCCAAGCAAGGCCTTCATGGGCCTTATTAACCTGTAAGTTGTTGCCCAAGTTAGGGCTTCAAAAAAATTCTAGGCCTCAATTATTCTAGAGCACACCAGGAAGTTCGTGAAGCGCACCATCGCGATTACCCTGGATTTGTCTCCTGCTTCCTATAAATTCCCCCTTCTCATCAAGACCGATCAACAGCAATTCACAACGATTATTCTTCAGCAAACGACCAACCAGCAAAGCAAGTAACACATATCGATCATGGCAATGATTCCAAGCTTCTTCAACAACCGATCACGAGACATCATCTTCGACCCTTTCTCTTCTTTCGATCCATTCAAGGACTTCCCTTTCCCTTCTTTTTCCCTCATCCCTCGTGAGAATTCAGCTTTCGTTAACACTCGCATTGACTGGAAAGAGACCCCAGAGGCCCATGTCTTCAAAGCTGATCTGCCGGGGATTAAAAAGGAGGAAGTGAAAGTCGAGATTGAAGATGACAGGGTGCTTCAAATTAGCGGGGAGAGGAACGTGGAGAAGGAAGACAAGAATGAGACATGGCATCGTGTTGAACGTAGCAGTGGCAAGTTCTTGAGAAGGTTCAAGCTGCCTGAGAATGCCAAGATAGATCAAGTCAAGGCTGGTATGGAAAACGGGGTGCTTACTGTCACTGTGCCCAAGAAGGAGGTCAAGAAACCTGATGCCAAGAAGACTATTGAAATCTCCTGTTAAAAAAGAACACTACATTTTTTTCCTTCAACATGTTTATTAGAGCTTTAATCCCTTAAATGTTAAAGAATCAACTAGCGGCCGATTACTCATCTTGTTCTATAAGATATTCAGTCTTTACTTAAAGTAATAATTTGATATTAGTCATCTCCTCTGGCTGCTATATGGAGAGAGCTTCAAACCTCCTCCTTTAAGCCACGCTTGAGGCCTTAATCCCCACCTCTGTGTGTGTGCGCGTATAATTTGATTTTCTTTTTTCTCTTTTTGGATAAATATTTAAGCATTTTCTTTTATCCCCCCTCTACCATTCGCCTAAGCGCAGTTTAAATTTTACATTTTATTGTATTTTCTTGTTCATTCTTCACAATAGCTTGTTGTCGAATTCTTTGAACAGTTTAATTAGTGTGTGTGTGTTCTAACATGCCTTAAAAATAAAAAGCAATCATAACAAATTTTAAAAAGATCTTTGGCGATTTGAAATAAGAATAACAAAATCATCTCTCTAGTTTGAAACTATTTTTCAAATCTAATTACAATCATAATAAAAGTATGTATCAATTATAAATAAATAAATAAATTTTAATATCTTTGTCAAGAATATATTAAAAAAATATAAAAATAATGAACCACTTACACGTGATTATGAAATTTTTTTTAATACAATCAATAAAACTGATCCATCTAGCTAGCCAATTTAGATATTAAATTTTTTATTTAGTTTAAATTTAAAATAAAACATAGTAAGAGTTAACATAATGTAATTTAGTTAATATAATAGGTTTAAACATGACCTAATTAAAATCTAGTTTAACTTAATAAAAATTGCAAGGTGATGTTGTTTAAACTTTGAACTATAAAATTAAATAATTAACAAATGAGGAATTAATTTTAAAAACAAAACATTAGCCTGTCTCTATCACATGTGAGAGGAAATATTAGAGTTTATTTTGTGGTGGGAATGAGATTTTTTTAGGTTTCTATTATGTTTTTTCTAAAACTAAAAATAGGTAAAAATTAGGGTTTTTTGGGTCAAGAAAGCTATTGAAATATCCGGTTGATTGGAGAATGGGGTGCTTACTGTTACTGTGCCGAAGGAGGAAGTCAAGAAACCTGGTGTCAAGAAAGCTATTGAAATATCCGGTTGAATACGATGCCTGTATGTTTTCCTTGGTTGGCAAGCATTTATCTATTTGTAATCAAGAATTCCGTGTCTTCTTATGTTAATAGCTGAAAATCTTGGTGTCGTCCTTGTTTATATCTAAGTGTTCAATGGCAAATGAAGTGTAATTTTGGCTTTCTATAACCATCCTACCGGTGATTTCTAGCTTCTGTTCCTTTTTCTTTTTTCACCTTGTTCTTGATGCTTATAGGACATTATGGCTAGACATGTTCGAAAAATAATGCTAAAGAAGCGGATAGCTGTCAATATTCCTGTAGTCTGTCGTGGGCATAGAATGGAATAAGACAGCGTTAATAGTAGGAAAAAAATGCATACAAATCTCTATTGATAACTGGTTCTTCAATCGAGCCTAGGCCTGCAAATTATTCTACATTACTCAGCAAAGCTTACAATATGGTATGATGTGTCTAAATGCCCTCTTTGTGTTCATAAGAGAATTATCTCTAATTCCCTGTACGCGTTAGGGATTCGCAATCAACAGGTTAGTTTACACCTTTGCTCGCTTTAGTTCAGTTTCTGTTCCATACTTTTAAATGTCTTCTTCTTGAACTCAGCTTGGAACCAGTAGCAGATTTTATTATATCACAGAGACGTTTCTGTTTTGTTGCGAAACGTTCTCACCATTTCTTGCTGAGAATTTACATGGTGTGCTTGTTAAGGTGTTAAATTGCAGTTCTGAATCAATAATGTAATCCTGACCCAATTTTGGGCCACAAAGCGGCAAGGTGGGTTTGGGCCTAACTCTGAAGACAAAGAAATCTATCTGAGCCCAACTCCAAGTGTTCCTCGTCTTCTTGGTGTCCGACGAAATAGAATTATAGAACTAGGAAGTAGAAACCCTCATCGAGCACAGCTTAAGCAAATAATGGCAACGGAGAACAAGCCGAAGTCCAGTGCTAGTGCTACTACCAACAGCAAGAAGAGAAAACAACGCTATCTCCCTCACAATGTATCCTTCTTTTACTTCCTCTCTATGCACTTGTTCATATATATATGTAATTTGTTTTTCTTTCTTTTGATTGTATTTTGTATGTGTTTCTGTACTGCAGAAACCAGTGAGGAAGAAGGGTTCCTACCCATTACACCCAGGAGTTCAAGGCTTCTTTATCACTTGTGATGGGGGTAGGGAGCGCCAAGCCTCTCGCGAGGCTATTAACGTTATTGATTCTGTATGTTCCTTTCTCTTATTTCCTTCTTCTTTTCATTTTTTGCTGCAAAATTCAATCTGGAGATATGGAAAATCGACTCATATAGCTGTGAAAATTTTGGTGCGGTGAAATTTATAGCATCTTGATAAATTCCTCCTACAAGAATTCTGCTTATCACGGGTGGAATTTTTATTTTTTGGTTTGCTCTTTCTGTTATCATAATGTCTGAGAAGTGCATTCACTAGATTAGATAATTTAGAGTGCTTTTAGATGCGGTGAGTGCACCTTTCCCTTGATGTACGAGGTCAAATTATGTACTCTTTCATTGAGCTGCTGGTATTTGCATTTTTTTCTTGCAGTTTTATGAAGAGATAGCTTATGTGAAGGATACTAGTGTGAAGCTTGCAGATTTGCCTGGTAAACCTACAAATAAAAAGATCAAGTTCTCATATTCTGACGATGAAGGAGATGACGAAGAGGATGACAATGAAGAGGATGGGGAAGATGAGAACAAATCAGAAGCCCCTGAAGGCAATGATGCCCTGAATGATAATCCTACAAACAAAAAGGTAGGATCTCCTAGTGTAGAAAATGAAAACAGTGAAAATCAAACAGAAGAGAAGACTAATCAAGAAGAGGGTTGTAAAAATGATGAAAAACAAGCAAATGAAGCAGAGGAGCTGCCAGCGAAGAAGAAATGCACAGAAACATGTGCCCCAAAGTCTGTTGTCCAAGAAAAAGTGGAGGAGAAATCCATTGATAGGCTTATTGAGGATGAACTCAAAGAACTTGGAGATAAGAACAAGGTGAGTAATGTATTGCCCATGTTCCATTTACTGATGTTCCATTGAAAAATAAATAATTTTTGAAATGAGTTGATCAGAGAAATTGAGCTGGCGGCCTTATTTCTATAGCTTTTGCCTGTGTTCTTTTGTTGAGCTCAATTTTCCTTTTCTTCCCTGTATTTGTACTTAGCTCTCTATCTCCCTCTCCTCTATTTGGTATCGGTAGAGATTATTTACATTCTCATTTTGCTCACTAACTTCACACCCACCACATTGCAATGCTGTTAAGATGTGCTGGTAGGTACTCAATAGGGATGTTTTGCTTGTACTGAAAGTACAATGATTTGGCTTGAAATGAAGATAAAAGACATACAAGCAGTGCACTGTACCATCTAATGAAATTACCTCCCCTTCACCCTAGAATGGAAACACATAATCTGTATCCTGATTTTACTTTCAGAAAGTATACTGGGTGACACCTTCGTATGATTTGTTCCTTTTGTTTTCTTTTGTTTGTCGTATTTGTCCTCTCAGCCTACCTGTTTTGCTTCTTCTAGGCCCAGATGGGGAAATGGAAATTCTAGGAAATGGTAGGAAACACATTTTGCTTCCCCATAGCCTATCATAGAATGAAATGCAACTCCATGAACAAACTTTACAGCAGTATAAATTGCTGTTTATCTTGCAATCGGGCATGGTGAACTTGGTGCTCTTATGTTTGTCGCAGATACTGTAGTGTTACTCCTTGCAATTCTGAGAGTATTTTATTCAGATATGCTACACTTTTCATTTTTGATAACTGATATCCTATCTTGTTGAGTTTGCTATCTGTTGAATTCACTAATTCCTGTGGTCATGGTGAGCATGCTTAAAAAGGGTGGTCTTTGTCCTCTATGTTGCTACTATTTTTGGTCATATCATTATATTCTTATGCTGATTTTGAATTTTTCTTCTGCTTGAACAGAGGCGCTTTCTTAGCCTTGATTCTGGTTGTAACGGTGTTGCCTTTATTCAAATGCGTAAGATAGATGGAGACCCTTGTCCCAAAGATATTGTCCAGCATATAATGACATCTGCTGCGTCAACAAGGAAACACATGTCCAGGTTTATGAATTGCTGACTTCTTAGGTTAAATTTTATAAAGGCATAGCTTCCAACCAGTGCTCGCTATTCTCCCCTTTTGAGCCGTACTTCAGCCTCAGGCCACTGCTTATGGATTTTCACATCCAAAATGCTGGGCATCAACCTGTGTGTGACATTTGGTGCATATGTACCAAAATGGCTTTCTGTACTGCAAAAAGCAAGAACTTTTACAACATCTTAAAAAAATGACATATCATTTCAGAATGCTAAAGTTATGCTATCTGTTCATATATAGGTTCATCATAAGAATGCTACCAATTGAAGTTGCATGCTATGCTTCAGAAGAGGAAATCTCAAGAGCGATTGCACCAATTGTTGAAAAATATTTTCCTGTGGATACTCAGGATCCATTGAAGGTACTATTCATTAATACTTACCTCAAAAGTAAACTGGGACTACTTCTCTGGTGCTCCATAAGTGAGAATTATATAACAAATATAAGAAGGAAGTGTTTGAGTAGCATATTCACCATGCCAACTAATTTCTTGTGATGAATAAAATTCACCATCCAATTCAGTAATGCTTGACAACTTGGAATACAGAGGGCACACGCTTGGGAAGAGTTGAGTCTTCAAATATGCTAACAATGCAGCATTAGTCTTGTCCAACTTCATTGTATGGTTTGATTTTAATTGGAGGCTTGATTCATAATCTAAATCAAGCCAAGAGGCAGCCTAGATATAGCTTTTTGTGATTTTTTTTCCCTCTCCCTAAACTAATAGTTCTAAAACCCAAAATATAAAACTAAGTCCTACAAAAAACACTGTTTGACCTTTAGAACCCTTTGAATAGGACTTGCTGATGATAATCCCGCTTAATTTCCCAACAGTAAGAACTGCTTCCTGCACTGAAAAATATGTTAGATGTACCGTGAAAAGGGAAACAATGCTCCTTTGGATTAAGAGGTAAAACTAAATCTGTATATTCAAGAATTTGTTCCTTGCTTCATCAGTGTTCTTAGAATTCCATGTGGAATACGTTGATTTCATGTGTCACTTTTGTGTTAATAAGCTGGCTCTAGCACCACTTTTGACGTAACCTTAAATAAAATTCCATCTATTCTGTAAAATTCTTAGACCTGCAGGACACGGTTAGTTCAGGAGTTGCTGTTGAGGTAGCTCCTACAAGGACCTAGCATTACATAAGTTGGGATCCAAGGGAAATTGGCAATGGGGAAATAGATGGCATTGAACACCATCAAAATTTAATTAAATAGTGATCCAAAATGAAGTTTTGTTTCTTCAATTAATCAGACATGAATAATACTTCCAATAGCGTGCCATTCTCATTTAGCATATGGCAGCTGAGCAACCACTACACTGCTAAAAGCACCCCTGTAGTCTGACATCGTAATTGTGGTGGAATATAGGAAGTCATAGGAGATAAGAAATCTGAATTTTGCTGATTGAACTAAGTCAACAAGGACCAATGGAGTTGCATCTCATACTTGCAACACAAACTACAAGTTGACCACTTATTCCTTCTGTGCAGTTTGCAGTAATGTATGAAGCCCGTGCAAATTCTGGCATTGACAGGATGAAAATTATAAATTCAGTGGCAAAATCTGTTCCTGGACCTCACAAAGTTGATCTTGGCAATCCCGACAAGACAATTGTAGTTGAAATTGTCAAGGTAAGAATCTGTTCTCTTCCCTGCTATGACTTATCTATTGCAGAAACTGCTCATTTGTTACAAAACCAAGTTTTGCGATATTTTGAAGTTAAGTTAGAATCGTGTATGTTGGTTATATCTTTTAGAAGAAGCTTTTAGGCTCTCTATCAGCAATGATATTGAAGAACTTTTATAACCATTACATCTCATTACGTCTCCTGATGCCTATGAGTGATCCTGCATCTGGTCAAATTAATTGGCCAGTCTGTTTATTTCTTAAGACCCTACATGTTTCAAGTTTGTTCAGCCTCTTACACTTGTGATGTATTCTTTGCCGCAAAGCACTAGAAGTACTTGTTTCGTGTATAATCAGTACCTATCGGGAAAAAAAAAATCAGAGTTTGACTGCCTGTGGTGCTAATTTATTTTTTGCCCGATTAACTTTGATTACTTTGGTTTGTAATTTTCTCAGACTGTGTGCTTGATCGGGGTTATTGAAAAGTACAAGGAGCTGTCCAAGTACAACTTGAGGCAGCTCACATCATCGAAGCAGTAATAGCCTGTGACAACTTAAATGGAGAGGAAAGCGCAACTTGGATCTGTTATTTTTAGTTCGTATTAAATAGGGGCACGCTAACTAAAATTTTGGTTCAAATAGAACTTTTTCTTTCTTTCTTTCTCGAGCTCCTCGTGTTAAGAATGTTCATGACATTGTTGCAATAGCATAAAATAACCAGAAGACATAAAAATCCATGTCGTGTTTTGTCTTCACTTCTTCCTTTTGTTTCTGGTCTTTCCTCATTTCTGCGCACTGCGCCCTGGTATTGTTGTTTTTGTCGTGTTTTTTTTTTCCCCAACTATCATAGCAATTACCATTACCAATACAATATCATCTTGATAATGGAAGCGACACACCTATTAGTAGTTTCTTTAATTTTTTGTTGTAAAATAAGGGAAAAAAAACTATTTAGTTTTATATTGAAGGGGAAAAAACATTATGGATTTTTATTTCGGATTAAAAATGTGTAGTTCTTTAATTTTTTATTGTAAGATAAGGAAAAAAAAACCTATATATATATATATATTTATTTATATTGAAGGGAAACGTTATTGATTTGCTTTCCTTTTTCATTCTATAGTTTACCGTTTCAGATTAAAAATGCCATTGCTTATAGAAAATTTTTTTTATTAAGATTGTCTCCAGACAACTACCCTTCACAGCAGTTTTCTAATTTCTCAAAATGCACAAGAAGCAGTAGGAGAGAGCAGCAGGGATGCTGAACGAACCATGGATCACACACTTTGCAAAGAGGATGATAGGAAAAAAATAATTGAGAATTCATTAATTCGTCATCATTCATCCATTGAGTCAGTCACACCACACCACACCACACCCATCAAACAGTAAATTAACCACCTCATTTTGGACCCTTTCTCTTCCTTCGATGCAGCACTACCACCCAACAAACAGTGAAGAAACCACCTCCTTTTGGACCCCCTATCTTCCTTCTATGCAGCACTTGGAGGCTTGTACAACTTCTCCACCATTTTCCTATATTCTGCAACAGATACAAGGTACCAAAAGTAAAATATGCTATCCATACTCCAAGCAATTCATAGCAAACGTGTTATCCAGACTCGCAATTCATAGCAAACGTGTTATCCAGACTCCAAGCAAAACCATCCAGACTTCAAGCAATATACATGCACCAATAGTCCAATACATACCATATATGTAATCATAGAGGAAAACATCCAAAGTAACAACAAACAAACCTTCTTGATTGCTCCAAAGTTGTGCTGCTTGAGTGTTTAGAGGTGAACTTATGTTTGGCTCTGAACATAACATGAAAAGAGAAACAATGTTAATAGTCAATTAAATCACCAACTTTCATTAACCAGAGAAGGGGAAAACGGAAAACAAGATTCACCTCCAAGCAGACTTTGGATTGATAGCAATATTGTCCTCACATCATAGGCAGATGACCATTTATCCTAGAACACACAATCAAACATCATTGATCAGCCAATTTGCATCTTAAAAAACCTTCTTAATTAGTTAAATAAATGCATCAGACCACAAGCTTTAACTAAAATAATTAATAATTTTACCTGAAGAATATCCAAGCAAATGTTGCCATAGACATCCACATTGGGATGGAAGCAGCTGGTTTCAAACTTGACTTTTGGTGGCTTGAAAGGGTAGTCATTAGGGAAGGAAAGGGATAGTTTGTATTCTGTTCCTTCAAAAACAGTGTCTTTGCTTCCTGTGATTGTTCCTTTCCAGCAAAATAAGTTGTCCCCTTCAGGGAAGGCAGATATCCCAGATTCTCCACTCATCTACAAAACAAAATTTATCGGAAACCTCTCAGATCAACAAGTTTAACCATTGATTTGTTGCTGAAAACATTAGAGATACAACAAGAAGACAGGTTTTGATGTTCTTACCATCAACGCCATCAGTTCAGATTGCAACCTGATTTCATAACCAAAAAAGGTAACAATCAGTAACAAAACCCATAAAATTCTCAAGCCGATTAAAAGACAATGAGCAACCAGATCAGGTTACAGAGCAACCAATTCTGAAAAAAAGTTCAGTCAAATTAAACCATGAAATACCTCAAGCAAAAATTATAGCAAAAAAGACGAGTATTCAAATCAAGCTTATCACACAATCAATTAGCTAATGAAAAGCAGCTAACCAATTAAGACAAATAATCAGACTTAAAGAAACCCAATTGATTCATTCAAAATCACTCTTAGATAAAGAACCAATTACATAAAAATCAATAGCTTAAATGCTACCATATTCATTATAAATACAAACATCATCTGATCTTAGATCACAAACCACATTCATGAACAAGAAAAGAAAACCAAAGAAATAAATTCAGATAAAATTCGTGATATGTTACATCATTTGACAAATAAGAAGAGCAGATCAAGCGCAAAAACAAGAAAAACATAATACCGTTTAAGCACGGATTGTGTATCAACAGTCTTTGCCGATGGGACTGTCTGTTTTGATGGGGTAGTCCTTGCCGGAGCAGCCACCGCAGTATACCCTTGATACCCATTAATAGCTGCCATTGTTTCTTTTTTTTTCTTTCTTTTTTTAGTTTAGAATCCAAAAGAAAGTCAACCCAAATCAAGAAACTGATCAGTGAAGTATGTTTAGAAAACAAGAAGAAGAAGAGACTCAAGAGAGTTTTTGAATTTCTTCTTCCTTTGTCTCTTCTTCTTCTTTGAGTTTTTTATAGAGAGAGCGCGTTTCAAGAGAGAGAGAGAGATGATAGAGAGGCCATGCATATGTGGTTTATAAGAAGTTGAGATTGCCCATTACGGTACCGTTTAGGAGAGTTTTGGGTAGGGTTTGGTGTATTTTCGAACGTTAGAATGACGGTGGTAGGGATTTGAATTGTTGTTTTTCTAGTCGACCTCCAACGGCTAGTTTCCTGGTTTGGAAAGTGCTGTATGCAAATAAAACACGCATGCCTTCGTCAATTATCCTTTTCATTTAAAAAAAATATATATCGTAAACAAACCCCACCCTGACGAATTTTTTTGGGAAAAATGAAAAAAAAAATGCAAGCATTTTGATATTTTTTAATTCTAGTTCTAAACCAAAACGCAAGTGAGAATTATTTATGTTAATAAATATAAAAAATAAAATATTAACATATCTATTCAACTAGTCTAATTATAAGTTAAATAATTTTTTTATCAACACAAAAAATTAATATGTAAATATTATTAATAGTTTTTTTACATCAAATAAAAAATATAATCATGAATTATAAAGTCGATATATAATAAAATATAATGAAAATTATATGCATTAATAAAAAATATTTAAAATCCCAAGCTAATTTTTAATGTAACTAGAAAATAAAACAATGTTACAATTACTACAATGATATATTATTTTTTTAATATATATAGAATAAATTTCCAAAAATAAATTACAAAAGAATAAACAAAAAAAAAGTTATAAATAGGCTAAGTGTAAAGAATAAAAAATAAATTTAAAAAAAAAGTGTAAAAAAAGAGAAAAAACTAAAAAAACTTTTAAATCATGAATTTGGTTTGCAAGTTATAATTTTTAAAGAAAATACTAAATATACATACTATTCCAATATTTTTTTTACATGAAAAATTAAAAATATCATCTAAAAGCTTATGCAATTATCTAACTAAATAAATTGATAACCATTTATATAAATTAAAAAAATCATTAATAATAACCAAAAAGAAAATAGTAAAGATGAGATATTTACCTGATTATATTTATTAATTTTTTTATTTAAATAAATAAAAGATAAACTCACCTTAAAAAACTCATATGGCTTAAACAATAAATATAAACAAAAATGATTGAATAAAACCACATCATAAAAAATATTATGAAAAGTCAAACACATCAAAAAAATATAAGAAATGGATATTTGTCGATATAATGAAAACATATAAAAAAAAGATAAAAAATACCTCGAATAAATTTGGCAGCCATCCAAGGTGAACAAATCAAACACATGATCTAGAACATGAAATTGAGATAACCCCCAAAATAACAAAGCAAAAAAATATATTTGAAAAAAAACATTTAAAAAAAAATCAAAATTAACTCGAGCTAATCTTTCAAATCTATATCTTAGATAATGAAACTAGAGTGACCCCATTAAAAACAAAACTAAAAAAATAAAGGAGTAAGATTCTTAACTATACAAATATGAAGGGATAAAACTGAGGTAAAAAAATCAATTAAAAAAATAATATAAAAAAATAACAATTAAAAAAATAAAGACTAAATTCAACATAAAAACCAACTAAAAATAAATTTTAAGGGAAAATTCAAATGAAATTAAATATTTAGAGAGGGAATTGAAAAAAAAAACAAATCAATTAAAAAAATGATTAAAAAAATAACAAATAAAAGAATTGGTACCAAACTTGACATAAAAATTTAATGAAAAAAATGCTCAAGGATGGAATTGAAGAAAAACATATAAATCAAGAAAATGATTGAAAGCCAAAAAATTAGTAATTAAAAAATGAACACCAAATTTGATAAAAAAAAAAAACCTAACAAAATCAAACAACTAGGGATGAAAAAAATAAAATCTAAGTAGAAACAATCAATATAAATAAAACAATTAAAATTAAAAAAAGAATGACTGAATCAAAAGAAAATAAATTGAAGGATTGGTATAATTTTTTGCATGGCTAGCATGCAATCCAAGAAAGAAAGAAAGGGAAAAGGAAATGAAAGAGAAGAAAAGAAAAGAAAAGCCAATTGGTATCAAACCAACCTCGCTACTATACATGTGCCACCTAAGGAGGAAGACTCCAAAAAGCATCAAATGCCCACCTAAGAAGGAGGAAGACTCCAAAAAGCATCAAATGATATGGTTGAAGCTTAATTTCAAACATCATTGTTAGTGGTAAGTGTTGACAACATTTTTTTTATGTGGGCAAAGTAAAAAAATATCATTATGGCTAAACAATAATAACCAAAAAACCCTTATGAAATTACAACTAAGTACCCTTATGAAATTGCAACCAAGTCCTTGAAGTTAAGGCTAAAAATATTAAATGGCAAGAGTAACAAAGTAATTCAACTATTTATATCATTATAAAAAATGAAAATGTCCCTAGTACTAAATAACAAAAACAAAAAAAAAATCATTAGAAAATGACAATAAAGCCCTCGAAATCAAGGCTAATAAATTTGCATAATAAGGGTACTTGCATAATTCAACTATTCATGATAA